CATGCAACTCTTCAGCCCCATCTGTTACCTGTTTCCTTAATGAAAACCTACACCCAACAGGGACAGGGCGTGGCAGTGAAGTGGGGCTGGAGGATAAAGGGTGATTCATAATTGCAGAACATCAGTAACGCCTGGGTAAGTGTTCTGAGGTGCTCTCAGAGCTTCTGTACCTTGGTCCAGGACCTTTAGGGTGTCAGCCACCCTCAGAATTGCATCTAGCCTGTGGGTTCCCACTGCCTGGGGTCAGGAACCAGGCTCCAGCAGGGCTGTTTGCAGCAGGCATGGTGTGTTCAGTCAGAGGCAGGGGACCGGGGTGGGGCAGTTATCAGTGGAGACAGGCTCAACTACTCTCTTTCTGTGGAGTCAACAGAGACAGGATGAATAATGGGTCTGAGCCAGAGAAGCAAAGGTTAAGGTGAGGAGGGGAGAGGGAACTGAGGCGGGGACCCTCCCAGGCGCCGTGCCCACTGAACCACGATGCCAGGGAGGGTGAGCAAGGATGGGAAGACACCAGGTGCCGGTCCTAGCCTGACTTCCTGCAGTGCTGACATTGCACTGTGTGACTGACTCTAAATGCCTTGAATGGAGAGCGTAATCAAAACATTTCAATGGGCCAGCATGGGGAGGGGTACAGTAACCTGGGGACCCTCTCACCCTGACTCTTTTACCCAGCGTGGCCCCCTTTTCTTCTCCATTAATAGCAGGTCACATGACTAAGGGCTGCCTACTGCCAGACGCAAGAGAAACTTCTGCTCTCCCCAACACTGTACCTAGAAGAATTTGAATAAGGAGCCTTGCCCATGAGAAATTCAAGATAACCTTTTCCCCCCCTTATCTGTAGAGCAGGGTAAACTTCTAATTACTGGACATCTGCTCTTCTTACTGTCCTGCAATGACCTTCCCGCACTCTGAAGCCCCAAGGTGATCCTTAGCACAGAATGTTCTATGTCCTCCTTTTCCCTGTCTGAACCTCTGGTGCACATCAAGTCCCCGTTATTAGACCTGTTGAAAGAATTTTGAGAAGAGAGGAAAGTTTCTTCCTCCTCCACGTTACAAATGAGGAAACTGAGGCTCAGAGAGGGTCGCTGAGGTTAGCCCAAGCTGGTTAAGTAGCAGAGCCACACCAAACTGAGATCTGTGTGACCCGAGTCCAAGTTCTCAACCACTGTACACTTTCTTTCCTTCTCCTTTCTGTCTCCTCTGTTTATGCCAAAGGCTTTCTCATATGCTCTCCCTCAGCCCATATCAGACCCAGAATCTTCTGTGGGGTGAGGGGCTGGGGGCTACTCAGGAGACTGACCTTGGAAGAACAAGGCCCCTCAGGTGGGAAAGTTACTGTTTCTAAGACTTCTCAAGAACAGGAAACTTCCCTGGCCGCCTGCAGTAAATTCAAGCCTTCCTTCCTTTGTGATTTCACCCCGGGAGCAACACTCCAGGATGACTCATCTCCAGACCGGCAGGAGATCTCCTCTGGAGACTGGAGGTGACCTTGGCCAGGCGCTCACATCCTGTGCCTGGTTTCCTGATTTGTCGAGTGGGCAGCCCCCAGCCTCCCTGCCAGGCTTGTTGTGGAATACAACAAAAGGGTGAACACAAAGCAGGTCGAAAATAATTTTTGAAAAGAGAATGCAAAATACTGACAATCTTCTAACTCCCACCCACGTCCCACATACCAAGCCATTATCTAAATCCTCTCCGATCTTAATTCTGGTTTCAAGAATGCACCAGCACTCCTGCTTCCTCCTGGATGTGGGCAAACTGTGATCACCGGAGAAAGGAAAGGTGGCGGGGATAAAAACCCTTCTTTCCATCAGTGATGGGTCACTCCTTCAGCTCCCCATCACCCTACTAGAACGATGTAATTAATACTAATAACAGCTAACAGTCACAGAGCCCTCATTAAACATGTGTTTTATATATTTTTTCCTCATGGCATCCCTTTGTGAGTGTCTGTGACTAGCCCCACTTCACAGATGAGTAGAATGAAATTCAGACTAGTTGATAACATAAATGTAAAGGTCACACAGCTAGTAGAGGTCGAAGCCCAGATTCCAAACCAGATCTGCCCATCTCCACCATGCTGTGGCGCCTTCACTGACTTCATCGTATTTCTACCGTTTTTTTTATTTTTATTTTTTCTTCTCTCATTTTCACTTTAAAATGACAAGCCCCAGCACTCTCTCACTTAATTTTTCTCCATAGTTCTTATGCTCTTTAGCAATGAATTCATTGTTTGCCCCTCCGCCATCCAGGTAGACTATAAATCCATGTGCATAAGGATTTGAGGGGTGTCTTGTCACTTGTGTCCCCTCAGTGCCTACAATGCCTGACACAACGTAGGTAGGTACTCAATGCATGTTTGTCAAACAATGAATTTGGCCAAAAAATTCTCATCAGTGATTTCCGCCTGCCCTGTCTACCACATTGTAAATTTTGGCAACATTTTGTTCACCTCAGTCCCCCCAGAACCTGTCACCCCCTTCAGAGTCTAGAATGACACTCAGAATATAGTAAAATATTCCATCAATATTTGGGAACAGGATTTAACTCTTTCTCTGAGGTTTTGGAATGTGCACTGGGGGGAGTCTGCTGTTTGGGGGATTCGCTCTCTGCTCCCCACAAAAAGGAAGGTGGTTAGAGGAAAACTGAGGAGAGCCAGGAAGCAGGGAGCTTCCTCCCTGTGGCCCTGGATTCGGCCCTCCCTGTGGCCCTGGATTCGGCCCTCCCTGTCCTGCGCCAGAATGCTGACGGACAGGTGGGTTCCCAGCCTTATGCAAAGGTTTCTGCATTTGGTTGGTCATGCTTCTCTGACTCATCTTCCCTGGGCCATGGGGAGGATTCAGTATGTGGCTGCACAAACTCTGCTGAGCAACAGGCTTAGTGGGCATTGGAAACGTGTGGGGGGAGGGGGCAAAGGATCTAATTAAGCAGAGTAGGTGATAGTGTCAGGGAGAAAAAGCAAGCAAATGGCAATTTGGATATCTGCCGGAAAATAAAAGAGATGACTGTCGTTTTCTCCTCTGGCTCCTGTTTGCCCTATAAATCTCAGTTCACTAATCCAAGTGTTTTAATTATCGCTGTATAATACAACATGCTGTGTTGGGCCCATCGAGGGGAAATTAAAAGGGAGGAGGAGGGCAGAGGGATTCAGGCTACCCCATTCTTCCATCTCGCTTGTTTACATCAGTCTGAAGGTGTTTTTCCCCCTTCTGCCATAAACACAACATGGGGCTTTCCAGCATCAAACATATTACCTTTTTCAGCTCACCAAAAGGAACTTCTGGCCCAGAGCTTTCTCCCCCAAATCAGGCAACTCATGGACCAGGAGTTACCTTGGCCACCGCTGACAATCCCCAAGAAATAGAAAGAACCAAATTATGAATTAAACACCAAAAGGAGAGTTCCTCGATGGGAAGCAGCATGATCATTAAGGCTAGCATTTGAATTTCACCTCCTCTACCTGCTAGCTGTGTGGCCTTGGACAAATCACTTAACTTCTCTGAGCCTTGGCTTCTAAAATAAAATACAGCAATAACAATTAAACACGTTAACACTTAGCACAGTGTCTGACACACTGTACGTGCTACACAACACATTTCCATCTCCTCGCCTTGATCTTCGTCATTCCAACTGCCTAAAGGAACTTCCAGAAAGCCACGTGGCTCACTCTTTCCCTTCCTTCTCAAATGCCACCTTATCAGCAAGCCTTCCCTTACCTCCCTAAATAAAATGCTAGCTACCCCGTGCGCACGCACATACGCACACGCGTGCGCACACACACACTGCTTCCCCCCTACATCCTTTGTTCTTGTCCAAAGCTAGAAGCACTACTTCACATTTTACGTATACACATTTGTTTCAATTTTTTTGTCCCCTTCATCTAAAAAGTAAATTCCAAGAAGTTTGTTTTGTTGACTGCTGTATATCCAGCACCTATACAAAAGTGCCTAGCATTTAGTGGCTGTTTAATAAATATTAACTGGATGAATAAACAGAAACTATTCTCTCTTCTTTTTAAGATTTTATTCATTTTTAGAGAGGAAAAAGGAAGGAAAAAGAGAGAGAAAGAAACATCAATGTGTGGTTGCCTTTTGCGCGCCCCATACTGGGGACCTAGCCCACAACCCAGGCATGTGCCTGACTGGGAATCAAACCCACGACCCTTTGCTTCACACAGCCCAAATTCAACCCACTGAGCCACACCAGCCAAGGCACAGAAGCCATTCTAAAGATGACTGAAAGGCCCATTTGATACCACACAGGCCAAAGTTCTTCATAGGCTAGGAAACTGAGGCAGAGAGACATCAGAAGACACGCCCTCTGGTCCCTGCTTCCCCGGAACTGTGTGGCGGTGGAGGCTGGAGGCCCTGACTCCTGCTATCCAGCTCAGCCAGGCCAGACCAACAGCTCAGCATGTTAGTCCCCTATGCTCCTCATCTGGGGAATGGAAACAATCAAGCAGATGGCTTTCCCTCCCAAATGTTTGGGACCTGGATGCCCCAGTGACTGACAATCTATAAAAGCGAAAAGGACAGGTGGAGATACCGCAGCCGCTCTGGAAATCCATCAACAAATGTGCTCACAGATGAGGAAATGCAGACAGCTGCAGCACAGAGGAGCCAAGATCCACCAGCACTGAGGACCCTCGTGGCCTTCTGCACTGGCTGAAGGCAAGCACTGCAGCTTCTGGGGCTTCTGGATGACTTCTTCTTACACAGACATAGGGGATGCTAGGAGGAGGGATGCAAAGCCCAGTTCCACCACTGGTAGGTGGACAGCCTCTCTGAGAACCAACTTTTCATCTCAGGCTCCTTCCTCTAAGTCAAATGAGAAAGCACATGTACAGCACCTGGCACAGTGCATGGCACACAGCAGGCATGCGATGACATTAACTGCTTTATATGACACTGATGAGGTTCAGAAGCAAACACATCCCTCCCAACCCCACCCCCATCCATGTCACCAGCTTAGAATTAAGTTCTTGCAAAAGAAAGGAGCTATTCACCCTTAGGAATCCAGCACCAGATAATTTTTTTAAAGAATCCCATTTCCCCATTCAAGCAGAGTGGAAAGAACTCGGACTTCACATCAGGTCCCCCTCTTTCTTCAAGCCACTAGGACCTTAAAAGGCTCCAAAAGAGAAGATTCCAGCCCACAAGTGTCAGCCAGCCAGGTTCTTTTCACCCAGAAAGTGGGATCTGGCCCAGAGCTCCCTAAAGGCAGAGGTGACCAACACCCTCCACCCCCAATATCCTACCCTTCCTTCACTACCTACTAGTCTGGTTTAAAGTAAGAAAGAGGGACACGACCAGTAATCAGAACGTGGTGACTCAGTGACGCCTATTCTTCCACTGCAGTGTGTGAGCTGATCAGCTCCCCAACCTGTTTGCCCATCTGCACATAGGGATAGCAATGCCTATCATGTGTGAGACTATCGTAAGGATTAAATGAAAGAAGGTAGCTACACACAGTGTCTGGCATATTAGCTGCTTTGAATATTCAAACCTAGAAGCCCAGGGCAGCCGCTGGGAATTACCAGCATTAATTGCTCCAAAACAACACCCTGAACTCCAAAAGATAGCCCTCCCCTAGACCACAACACCCTGTACTCCAAAAGATAGCCCTCCCCTAGACCACAGATTAGAGTGGACCACTCTGCCATGGACTGCAGATTCCTTCTAATAAAGAACATTAACTGCACGAGAGGCTTCCAGAAATCTTACAAAGTGGGGGGTGGGGGGAGAAGTAAGGATGCAGAAAGACACAGGTGAAACAGATCCAAGCAACTTCTGAAAGACGGTGGCTGGCTGGAAATGATAGGGAACGCTCCTCATTAAATAATTGTGGCTTTGGTCTTCCCAATGCAAACTGCCACTTTTGATGACTGGGGACTCTGAGTAGGTTTCCCAGGCAGTATGGCTCCATGGTTACCAACATTAACTTCTAGGGTGAACCAAATCTAACTAAGGTGTTCCAAAAGCCTCCAGGGGGTCCAGGAGGTGGTGACTTTTGGCTACTTGTGTAACCTCCCTGGGCCTCAGTTTCCCCACCTTCACTGGAGCTGATGATTACAGCCTCTGCAGGGAGGTTACAAGGCTCAAGGGTGCGCACTCAGGCGCTTCCTGGGTACAGCCGAAGGGCGGTGCGCGGGTCCCAGCTGTTCTAGAAGGAAAAGGCCGAGTACGGACGAGAGTACACAGGTCCACACAAGCTGAGGTCCTTTCTCCGCCGCAGCTGTTGAAAAAATAATCAGAAGAAAGCAACTGGAACGCGATCCGGGGCGCGGCGGGGGCAGGGGACCCCCCCCCGCAGGGGCCCCGGAGCCGCCCCGGGCCTGTGGCCTGGCCGGGGAGGCCGGAGGCCAGGAGCGGGCGCCCCGCGGGAGCGCAGAGGCCCCGCTGTGCGGGGCCGGGCGGGGGCGGCGGAGGCGGAAGCCGGGGCGGCCGGAGCGCGGTGGGGATGTTTAAAGGAAATTTACAATCATTTCCTCTCTGTGGTTTGGTGACAAATCAACAACATCCTGTTCTTTTGTGAGGCTCCGGGCGCCTGCGAGGCGGGGGCAGCGCTCCGGCTCTTAAAGAGACACACACCGGCCCCCTTCGCCTCCACCACTCCCCTGCGGCTCCAAAATAAAAACTAAAAAAGGCACTGCCTCCCCTAGGCGCCACCTCCGGGGGTGCGCGCGACCGGAATGCGGAGGCGGCTGTCCGAACCGCCCGCGGGCCGCGACCTGGATCGCTTCGCGTCCCCACCCCCGCGGCGTCCCCCCCACCGGAGACAGAAGGAGGAGACGGCGGCGCTCCCCTCTGATGGGTGTCGCAGCCCAGGGCCATCTCCCGCCGAGGGGGCCAGCAAGGGCTGGAGGGGCGCCCGCCCAATGCTTCCCCTCCCAACCCCCAGCTAGGGCAGCGCCGCCCCGGCTTCAGACCTCCGGCTTGCTTTATCCCTTCCCGAATCCCCTCGCCTCGAATTTTCCAGCCCCAAAATGCCGGATTTATGGTTAAAATGTCGACGTACGCACACGAGGTTTATAAAACGCCAAAGAAGAAGGAGGCTTCCCCAGTAATGAGAATCAGATGGCTAGGACCAGAAAAATAAAAAACACTGAACTGCCCTCCTGGGATTTCGGCCATTCAGTCATTTAATGAGCATGTTTTACTAAGCGCTGGTCACCATTCTAGGCCCTGGTACAGCAGGAACATACCAGACGCCGTCCCTATTCCCAGGGGGCTTAGATTCTGAATGAATGAATGAATGAATGAATGCATGAACGAACGATCTGGATCAGTTCACATGCTGTAGCGCTTTGATAAAAGGGTCATATTCTAGAAAGGGCTTTCTATGGGGAGGACTCTCAGGGCAGGTGACCAGCTGACTTGGGAACTGAAGGGTGAAGAGGCAGCCCCAACCCTGCAAAGAATTGGTTGAGGAGTCCCTGGGACCACCTGAAGAACACCCAGGGGCTTACCTCTTGGATACACTTATTACCGCTATTATCATTCCCTGTTTATTTGCCTGTGTCCTTTACTGGTCGGTGAGCAGGGAGGCTGAAAATACAGAGCCACAGTGACATCCAAGATAAGAGAGACCTGGCTCCTTCTGCTGTAATAACCAGGGCAAGCTCCTTCCCTGCCCCACACCTCAGTTTCCTCATTTGGAAAACGAGAACATTGAAAGAAATTCATTAGTTTGCACCCTGGGCTATACTAGGATTACCCAGGGAGGCTTTCAAAAATACTCCTCCCCAATCCCACCTCAGACTAAGAGTATCCAACTCTGGTCATGGAGTCTGGGCACTGGTATTTTTTTAAACTTTTTTTTTTTAACTTTTATTGATTCTTAGAGAGAAAGGAAGAAAACGAGAGAGAGAGAGAGAAGCATTGATTTGTTGTTCCATTTATTTATGCACCCATTGGTTGATTCTTGTATGTTCTCTGATCAGAGACTGAACCCACAGTTTTGGCATAATGGGATAACACTCCAACCAACTGATCTACCTGCCCAGGGCTTGAGCATTGGCATTTTTTAAAGATTTTATTTACTTATTTTCAGACAGAGTGGGAGGGAGAGAGAAAGAGATGAAGAGAAACATCAATGTGTGATTGCCTCTCATGAGTCCCCCACTGCAGACCTGGCCCATAACCCAGGTATGTGCCCTGACTGGGAATCGACCTGGCGACCCTTTGGTTTGCAGGCCAGAGCTCAGTCCACTGAGCCACACTAGCCAGGGCTAGCATTGGCATTTTTTTAAAGGATCTCTGGGTGAGTTTAGTGTACAGTCAGGGTTAAAAGCCAGTGACCTAAGTGACCTGTAAAGTGTGAGTTTAAAGCACCATGAGAGCTACTTGGGTTCAGGGTATAATCAGCACATAATTTTGTGCTTAGCATCCACTAACTGTATCATAGAACAAATATGCTATGCTTATATTTTATTTTACAACATTTAAGTCACAAAGAAAACCCCTACCAAATTATATGGGTACTACTATTCCTTTTTATGGATGAGAAAACTGAGGTACAAAGAAGATACAAAATTTGGTCAAGGGCATGCAGCTAGCTAACAAGTGGTCTTGCCTGAATCCTCTAAGCTGCTGTGCCTCTCCAGGGACAAGGAGCAAACTTCTACCTAACAGACTTGTATATCACACCAGTAGCTTCCAAGAGAAAATAATGGGGTGCTTTAGGACCACTCATACATCTTGGATGAAGGCAGGCAGCTGGCCTGGATGACCTCTTGGCATTCTGACAGCCCCAAAGTATGCCTGGCCAGAGTGCAGGTCCCGTGTGAGAGGCTGTAACTCTAAGAGGACAGACTTCTAAATTTCTCTGCATTGATCCTCTTGGTCATTTTCAAAAATGATTCCCCCAAAATGCGCAGTTTTGCTTTAACCAAATGGAAGAACGATTTGGCTGGGTGAGGAGGAGAGAACTGCACCCCAGCATGGCCAGGGTAGCCTACAATCACCCATGCCCACATTCTCATGTATGGGACCCGCCACTGCCCTATTCACCTTGGCCGTCTTCACATTGAAGCAGGTCCTGAGGCAGGACCCAGAGGAGGCATGGTAAGTGGGAGCTGAAACCAGTTCCCCAGGGAAGTAAAAGCCCTGTTAAAACAGATGGTAAAAGAAAAGAGGGTCTAGTTTTACAGTGGAACATTATGCTGCTGTTAAAAAAGAGAAGAGAGCTGCACAGACAAACTAGAGAGATGCCTGTGGTGTACAAGGTACACAACAGGATCTCCTTACTGATATTTATCTGAGCACCACAAACATGGGCACAGGGAGAAAGAGGAGAAACGAGCAGAACCGTCGGGAAGGACAGACTCCATACTGTTGCTGATGATACCTGGGCTGACACCTGGGGGTGGCAGGGGAGGGGGCACTGTGATGGAGTGTGTTACATTAATGGTGTGCTCTCATTTCTCTATATTAATTATAACAACCATGTATTATTTTTTAAGATAAAGGTACTTCTATATAAATAACAACAATAAATATTAAAAGGGAAAGTATAAAAACCCACCCTGGGAACAGTCTCCAGGGTTGACTCCTGGCAATGCCATCTTTGCAGATTTTCCCAGTGGGGGTGAGTGGTCCCACTGCTCCTCCACAGTTGTCTTCTCCTCAGTGTGGCACTCTTGTGGCAGTCTCTTACCTGGTCAGCTGCCTCTCCTCTCATCAGTGAGTGCCCCACAGGAGGTGGATTTGAGAGCTGCCAGCCCCAACTGATGTAAGGAATGACAAAGCTCATCTGAGAGGGAAAAACTGCCAGAGGTGCTACTTGGCAGTAGAGGGGGGTACAGGAAGCGGCATTGGTATTCCAGGGCTCTGGCTTCTCTGTGTGTCTACCTGTTGTTCTGGAAGCTGAGAAATGGACCTGACAGACCAAGACCTGATGAGAAACAACAGTGCTTTGCAGTTAGAACCTTACTCCAAAAATCCCCAAAGTTGGGGGAGCGGTCCACTTGTAACCCAGAACTGTCTCTGCTAGTGAGGGCTTGGTAACTCAGCAAATTCGTGGCTGGTGTGACCAGCACAAGGTCATCCTCTAAGGAGGAATTGTTGGGCTGTTCTATACTTCCTTTTATTCATGTTTTCTTAGATCTTCACCGTTTATAAATAGCGTAATGTCCTGGTGAAGAGCATGAGCTAAAAGGACAGAGAACCCAGTGGATTCTCAGCACTAGCACCCTCACTAAGCCTCAGTTTCCTTTGCTCTAAAATGGGAATAATAATACTATTTACCTCAAAGAGTTTTTTAGTAAAAATTAACAGATAATACAGGAAAAGTCTCGAACTCTGCGCCTGGCACACATAGTTATGGTAATCCTTGGCTTTATAACTAACAATAATGAGATTCAAGGCAGTTATTAACTGTACCTTTCAAGTGAGAATAAGGTGGGTACCTGAGCATTGTGGCTTATCAGCATTCACACACTTACTAGCTTAAAACATCTCAGACATAAGTCTGAGTGTTGGCCTCTAGAATTAAAGGTGTTTCAGAAGACCTGTATCTTGCATGGTTGAGCTATTACTGCATTAAAAAATTATCATCTTCAGCCCTGGCTGGCATGGCTCAGTGAATTGAGTGCTGGCCTGTGAACCAAAGGTTCACCAGTTTGATTCCCAGTCTAGGGCACATGCCTGGGTTGCAGGCAGGTCTTTGGTGGGGAGAGCATGAGAGGCAACCACACATTGATGTTTCCCTCTCTCTCTTCTCCCTCCTCTGTCTAAAAATAAATAAATACAATCTTTAAAAAAATTATCACCTTCAGCTGCAGTCATTCAGTAAGGCCCTGTGTACATAGGCCCTCATGCCAGATACGTACAGATAAACAGAAATTATATTCCTTCCTTCCCTTCACCTAGGCCTGATGATCTTCCAGTCTTCCCAAATCCCTTAGAATTAGGAATCCTTTCATTTTTTAATTTCTCCTCCTGCCTTCCTCCGTCTACTTAGGAGAAAGAAAGTTTCTAGAGTAGGAGGCTTAAACTAACTGATGGGCCATTAGCAGCATAACAAAGCAAAAGGAATTTTCCAGGTCACCAGCCAACAACTTTAGATAAGTATTTAAAATTCACTCACTTAGTGGGAGACAAAGAGGTTGATCAGGAGCGGGCGGGGAAGGGTTTCTCCCAGCTGATGAACTGAGCAACACCCTTTCTGATGGCCAGCAAAACCAGTGAACACTACAACTCGCTGCTTGGCTTCTGTTATCATTGTAGTTGGAACGCAGGTATGAAAAAGAAAACAACCATCTGTCTGCTGAATTCATAAATAAAAGGTTCTGCTTGGCTTCACATTTAGGGAACACCTGGATCCCTGCTCTGGCTTCGACCATGATTTGCTAAAATATTATAACATACCCATAAATTTCTTCTGAGCTCTCTGAACAACCCCTCTCCCTCTCCATCGCTCTCTCTCCCATGCACACTCACACACCCATGGCCGGCCTTATTCCAGCTGTGGCAAGTTCAGCAGGAGAGGAGCCACACTCATGCTGTGCTTCCCCCATTCCATGCCTGCATTTTTAAAATTTATTTCTTTATAGTCTGGAAGTCATTGGTGAAGGCAGTTTCAGCACTTAATTGGAAAGCAGATCTGTTCTACTAGAATATTCTTCCAGGGATCACCTTTGCTGCTGAAGGAAGAATGGCCTGCAGAGTCATGATGAAACTTCACAGCTGGGCCACGCATCCCCTCCCTACACGACTCTCCCCTCCCCCACAGCACGCAGCCCCAGAACCGTTCATTGCCATAGGCCTTAAGTTCCTACAAATTCTTGACCCTGGGGGCCCCACCAAATTGCACAAGGCTGCTTAAGTAGTAGTTATACACATTTCTAGACTTTCTCAAACTCTTTAGAACTCCGCAAAATTCTTTTCAAAGGAACGCAAAATATGAAAAAGAGAGCAAAACTGTTGTTTCTTATTGAAGCTACTCAAAATGTTGCTCAAAAGGGTCCCTAAGATTCAATGTTTGAAAAAATTACTATTGTAGAATATCATCCTATTATTCATCTAAGTAACTTTGGCGGTATAATGATGTCCAACTCCTCGCTGTGCATGTAGAAGGCTTTTTGATCCAAGCCCCCCCTACCTGAACGCCATTCGGTTACTCCCATGGTGTCTCCTCGCTGGATTTGCTCCTCCGTTTTGTTGGGGCAGGTCCTCTACTGGCTTCCTGGGAAGAGATACATGGGAAGCACATTTTTTGAGACCTTGCATATCTGAACATGTCTTTCCTTTATTCTTTTTTCACATTTTGATTGGTAGTTTCACTAGGTATAAAATTCTAGGTTGTAAATCATTCCCCAACAAGTCTAGGCCTCTCTAGTGTCCAGGTCTTTGAACGAGAAATATTCTTTTGCATGGAAGACATAGCCCCGCCCCACCCCCTGCCCTTATGTAGCTTAACACCTCCTTATTCTTGTCAAGGAAACTTCCCTGCCCAGCCACCTGCCCTTCCTAGTTGGGCAGATATCCCTCCTAATCCCTCCCACAACACCTGGGTATTCCCCCTCGATACACTTATCACGCCCTCTTAACCTCACCTGTTTATTTGTCTGTGTCCTTTACTAGGTTGTGCACATGGAGGCTAAAAATATAGAGCCACAGTGACATTCGGCGAATATTTGTAGAACAAAGGAATAAATCAATGGTTGTAGTGGTAATTTTTATTACAAGATACAATTGCTAATAAAATATTTGACAAATGCCCTTCCCAGTTGGTGCATGCTCTGGATTTGTGGGGTAAAGAACAGGATTAGTCTGGGGGAAGAAATGCCTCCTTGGTACTAGGAGCATAGAAAGGACCCTTATAATTTCTTGTTCAATATTTGCTTTCCATGAGGACAGGGACCCCGTCTGCCCTACTCACTTCTGTGTTCCCAACAACTAGACCATAATGACAGTTTAATAAAGAGCTGTTGAATGAATGAACTTGTCCAAAGGGAGTCCTACACATTGTACCGCCGAGAAAACTAAGAGAGAAAAAGTCCCTATGCTGCCTTACAGTCTTGGGAAATGTGTAGTTTGGGATAAAAACTCAATTCATCATCTCTTCCCACCTCACCTCAAAAGAAAACCAGAACCTTCTCCCAGTTCCCTGTTCCAGATACAGGCATTCCCTTCTTAACCACCTGGATTTGAAGCCCCAGAATTATTTGGCTTGGACCCTCTTCTCCGTAGTCTGTTTCTTTTCAATCATCAAGTCCCATGCTTCCTCCCTCTTTACAGCAATTTTCACACTGAGTCTCCTTTTTCATTCCCCTTGCTACTATCCCCATTGAGGCCCCCAACACCCACACCTAAGTTTTCACATGGCTCCCTCCTTCGCTCCGAGTCGCTTTGACTCCTCTGTGAGATTAATGTCTCGGAAGCATCACTTTTCCGTGTCTCTTTACTGCCCAAAACACCTTCAGAGGCTCTTCATTTCCTTCCACATTAAGTCACAACTTCTCTGCCAGTTTTTAACCTTCAGAATTACTCCTAATGCTTTGTTTTTCCCTCCCGACGCACACCAGCTCACTTCTCACACATATACAACTCACTCGGATCAGAGAGATGTTTCACTGTCTCAGAGCAGACTTGACGCAGTTTGTGCCTTCTCTTCTCTGGAATATTCTCCTCACCCTTCTCTTAATTCAATCCATCCTTCCAGACCTGGTTTAAATCTTTCCTCCTCCAACATGCCTTCACTGACAACTTCAAGCCTTGCTGATGCCCCCAACTTTAAAATCCAAATAGTATTTAATCATCTTTGCAGCCCAATTAAACCCAGATACATACCTTATATAAGACTATACAGTCTACGTTGGTTAGTGTGGTTTTCCCCAACCACCTGGCAGCTCACAGATGGCAAAGATATAAGGATGCCCTGTTCCTGCACCTAAGGGCCGCTTAAAGGTCAACATGTAATAGTATTCAGGAGGTAATAAGAGGGCTGCCTCCAGAAACAGACAGACCTGGGTTAATCCCAGTCCTAGCAATTACTGTGTATATTTGGGCAAATATTTGTGTTACTTAGTACTGGCTAAGTAATTAGACCCTCTGGCCTCTGTATCTTCATCTGTAAAAATGGAATGATAATAGTGCTACCTCATAGGGTTGCTGTGAAGATTAAATGAGATAATGCTAAGTAAAGAAATTTGCACTTTGCTTTGATACATGTACTCAATATGCTAGCTATTGTTATAAAAGACTCGAATCCCTGCTCTTGGAGTTGAATTTTGGCCTTGAGTTTGCTTAAGACTTTCTGTCACCGAGTCAGCCTTGCACACAGTGATTTCCTTCCACTCCCTACCTCTGTGTCTGCCCTTTTCTGATGAAAGCACATCTCTGCAAGCAGTGGCTGGGGGCAAGTCCCACCATTCCAGGGCATCTCCGGCCCCACTTCTTCATCCCTCCTGCCCTCAGCACTCTTGGATTCAGTGCGGAATTCTTTGGGTGGGAGCCTGTGATTTGTGAACCTTCTGAAGCTGTTCTTTCTTCCACTTTGTCTTTATTATTGTCATTGTATTATAAAAGCAACACATGCTCATCATTTTAAAAAGAAAGTACAGAAGAGTGTGAAGAACCAAAGTCTCACTCCCCACCCACACCTCCATTCCTATTCTCCGGAAGTAACCAGTTAGCAGTTTCTCCCGTGTATTTGCAGACAGCGTCCATGGCCATACAAACAAACATAGGCAGACACAGACACTGGTCTGTGGCTTGCTTTCTCCACTGAACAGCCAGTCTTGAACACCTTGCTGTATCCACACCTGATAGATCCACCACACACTGTGCAATGGCAACTTAGATTTCTTTTGTAGAAAGCAGCTATCATTGATTTCATCAGTGCTCCTCCCCCCACGTGGGTATGTAGGCTGCTACTGCTAAGATACCTGGATGAACACCCTTGCATAGATATCTCTGTGGACCACTTCAGTCTCTAAGGCTTCTGATGGCCAGATCAGAACCAGGCTGGGGGTGAGTCTTCAAGTTTGGCTCTAACTCCTGAGTTCTCCATCCACACACACAACATTCAGTTCTGAGATCCACTGACTCACTGGTCAGCAGCATGAGCACCTTCCTCCTGACCTCAAAATAGAAGAAAGAGGTCACTGGACTGTTTCTTCTTGAGCCTGCATTATAGGAGTTCACAGAATCCATGTTTCTCCCTTTCTCTGGGAGCAAAGAGGAAACCCCGATCTTCGGGGAACAGGACTGTAGAACCCAGCTGTGTTCTCAGGTAGCCCTGAGGAGGGCCCCACCCCCACCCCCCACCCTGCACCACCTCGAAGGAAGGAAACACGTCTTTGGTTCATGAGACATAACCCCAGCTGTTTTTCTCAGTGGGGCTGGGAGGGATGTTGATGTGACAACAAGGACAGTAGCTGAGACAGGCTTCAGGTGGTGGCTGGGAGGAGGTGAACACACAGGGCTTTCATCAGCAGTGACTCGACATTATTATCCCAACCCACATCCGTCCCTTCACTCCGTGTCCTTTCTCAGGCCAAGGACAGGATGGAATGGCAGGAACTGGGACTTCTTATCTATCACTCAGCATGACTCATGGAGGACCCCAAGCCAGACACTTACTGTACTCTGGGAGAAGCCTCAGGGGCCTGAGGGAACTAGGGCTGGAAAAAGGTGCCACTGGGCTGTGTTCAAGTTGCTTACTTATAGCTCTGGGGCCCACAGTGAGTTATCAAACCCTCCTAAGCCTCAGTTAGCCCATGCTCCTACCTGTAAAAAAGCAAAAGCAACACCAGGAGTCTCTGTCTTCTTCTGTCCTTGAGAGCAGGAGGTACCCCAAGTACTTAACACAGGACATGGTGTTACAAAAGCAGTCAATAAATCTTTGATATTTGCTTCACTGGTATCTCCGTTTTGCCTAGTATAGTAGTGCCCAATTCAGAGTAGGTGCTTAATTAAGACTTTTTTTTTTCAATGAATGAATGAACGTCTTCATTTCTGGAGCAGACAGGAAAATCGCAAAATGACCCCCAAGGTCTCTCCAACCTCACATCACCCCATTCTGTTCTTTAAAACTGTGGTAGCTCAGTGATAATGTGGTCTGGTTTTTCACTTGATTTTCCTCTCTCTCTCTCTCTCTCTCTCTTTCTCTTTCTGGCTTCCTAGGAGAAAAGATGTTCTATTCTTCCTGGCTTGTCCTGAAGGGCCAGCTACATAAGACAAAGAAGCTCAGGGCCATGGTCCTGGAATGCAGGCTCACCTTAGAGTTTTAAAGAGAAACTGAGCCCTGGGACCATGGAATATCAGAAGAAGGAGGAAAGGAGATTCATGTACGCATTCAATAAATATGTACCTGGAGTGCCTGCTCTGTCTGGAAGGGAAACCGAAACCCTGCTGCCTGGCCCTGGCCTCCACTCTCTCACCATGCTGCATACACCTCAACCCCGAACACCCAGCCTCCACCTCCCCTGAAGGGGCTTCTGTGTAGGTGATCCCCAGGAGTTCCCACTGCTAATCCAGGTGCTCCTCCCACCATTTTTGTTCCTCACTAGCTCTCGCTGCACCTTTCTCCTCCTTTGGTTTCCCTGGGTGAAACTATTCTTCTGTTGTCTTCCTGCCTCCTTTCTCAGTCCCTAATTCTTACCTTCTATTATGGGATGAATCGTGTCCCCCACCAAAATCCATGTGTTGAAGCCCTAATCCCTTGCACCTCAGAATGTAACTGTACTGGGTGATAGGGTCTTTAAAAAGTAATCAATGAGGTGCTCAGGGTGGCCCCAACCCACTGTGACTGCTGTCCTCATAGGAGGAGATGAGGACATTGGCAGAAGGCGGGTCCTGGGGAGACAGAGGGGAGCCGTCCACAAGCCAAGGAGAGAGACCTCGGAAGAAGCCAACCCTGTCAGCATTTTGATCTCTGACTTCTAGACTCCAGAATGGTGAGAAAAATAAATTTTTCTTGCTTAAGCCGCCCAGTCTGAGGAACTTTGTTACGGTAAACCTGGCAAACTAACACATCCCCTGTATTGTGGGACACAGTCATTCCCCACACACAGGCCATTCTCCTCCATAAACCCATCTCCACGGCTCAAACTATCATGCCTGCCCTCCCCAGTCTCCCATTCAAGTCAACACGCCCACACCGGGACCTGGACACATCCAGAGTCCAGCTCTGAGTTCCAGCTGCTCACCAGACAAGTCCTCCTGAATAGTTTGGCCAAT